GCAGTGATTTGCATCTAATGATTCTAGTCTGCTATTGTCCACTTGGATTAAAACATTTCCTCACTGAACAGGCATCGTAAGACTATTTTAAGGGCTCGTTGGTCTCAAGATTCTCTCTGTTAACCTTCTTAATCCTACAAGTGGATCATTTCTTTAGTAAGATTCAATGTTAATTATTACTATACCAATAAGTGTTATTAACCTGTGAGTCACTGATTGCATCAGTTGTTTAAACAGAGTCAAGACTGTGTTTTATGTGCGACTCAAGTAGAAAAAAAAGACAAAATGGCTTAAAGCTCCGCCTGAGCAAGGTCACTTGTAAATTGTGCTGATCCTCTGTAAATTTCTTTCTGATGAACATGCCCTTAGAAATCCCAAAGGTATTGCTGGTTATCAGTAATATATTCAAATACTAGACACTGAGGAAGAGTGTGTGCCAGATGTAACTTCTATCTATAAGCCTGTTCTTAGCTATGTTTGCCTTACGATGTGTATTACACCATTATGGTGTTACAGAGGAATAGCATTAACAAAACTATTAGCAGTCACTGTGTAGTTATCTGCTGTATCGTATTCAAATGAAGGCACAAATCTGATAATAAAAATGTCTTTTCAGGAAGAGCCCAAAGCCAAATTTCAGATAATTTACTGCTGGCAGTGGGTTGTGCTTTAATTAAATCACTTTTCTAGTTACTGAACATGAATTTCATTATAAGAGCCATAAATTAGAATAAAGAAAAGGCTGTTTGTCCATCTAAAGATATACTATGAATGAAACTACATTATATGTAGTTTAAATTATGGAACAGGAAATAGTTTTACAGCTCCACTCAGCAGCAGCTTAATTTCAGTGTAACAGCTCTGAGAGCTCAGCATGTTTTAACAGTAACCACTTTGAGCTGGAAGTTAAAATGACTGAAAGTGAACAGCTCTCCACTAAATACAGATTGTGTCACCGGCTCAGAGTTTTAATGGCATTTTAGCAAAAACACCCACAAAAAGCTCTCTCCTGATTTGGTCTGTTTAGGGCTTCAAGTTAAAAAGGTACCACAGACCCTCAAATGAGACTGGAGAAATCAGTGTGACTCTACCAGTTGAGACACTTGTAACTCTAATGTGGTTTTGAATAGATTGTGGATTCATTAAGGCAGTATTTAGACAAGGTTTTTGACTTTTATATGATTCTTTTGTACTGTTAAGTCTTTGTGCTATTTTTGGTTTTATGTGCTATTATCTGACACAGTGGATTCGCACAGGTGACAGCGTTGTGTGTCTGTGAGTATGACACATTTGTGCTAATATAAAGCTTTCCATACTTTTCTTCTCAACTGAAGTGTGTGGAGAGGTGTGGGTGGGCTGTGGTGGTCAAAGTAAACATTTCATTCATTCATACCCAACGTGAGAGTTACCCTCTGTTATTTAACACGTTTACCTCAATGTGAACCCGAGGCTCTGTCAGGTTTGCCCGGCTGCACCTGCCTCTCTCACCTCTCTCCCTCTATTTTAGCTCCCTTACCCCTGATTTCTTTATTCTGACACACCTACTTCACGTCCCCTGAATCACCACCAGCTGCACCTGATTACTTTCTTCCTATTTATACTGTGCTCAACGTCCACTTCACTGCCAGTTCTTTCTACACACAAGCCCGTTTCTATGCCGATCTATTGTTTTTGTCTACTATATGTATTTGCTCACGTTCTTCATCTGAGCTCCATTCCTGCCTTGTGCCCCGTGTCTTATCTTTCCCATCGCTATCGCTCCTTCGGACCACGGACCTCCTCAACTCCACATCACTCCACCACGCAGGTCGATGCACAGTCTCCCATTAACTGTTTCTGTGACTTTGACCCCTCAGCAACCAACCACCACGACCAGTCCAGGAGTGAATCCTAGCGTCCGCAGCCCCCGGCCTCCTCCTTATCATCACATCACTGACTGTATGTTTTCCATGTCTGCCGCTCGACACCCGGTTCTGCTCCATATTCCTTCACCTGGTTGTACACATATTTATCGTCACTGTAAATAAATAGAGCACTTCTTGCACCGAAGTCAGCTACCTGGGTCCGTCATGTTTTACTCGCTCACCTCCCTACCAGAGCGATCATAACAGGCTCATTGGGAAATTCTTATGAAATTAAATGTCTTGTGTTTTCTTAGTACTAGTTTGTTTCCTCACTCAACTGGAGTGGTTTGTTAAAATAAAGCAAAACCATGCTCAAAAATTTTACGCAAAATCTAATCAAGACATCTGAAACATATATAAAAGACAGTAATACAAACCTAGTGGGACCATGTAGGTACAATTTCAAGTCTGGAATGTGAAGCGTAAGGGTGGCAGGCTTCTTCTTCTAAAAAACCTGTCAACAACTGAACAGGACTTGTGAGATGCCAAATACAGTAGAACTGTAGCCACAGCTGGGTGACAGCCTCCTCTCTACTATCAACTGAATCTAACTTGAGTCATAGTTAGCTCTGCTCTTCAAAACTGTCGCATCATTATCACTATAGCTGTTGTTAGGAGGCTTGTCCATGAAGCAGAATTGTTCAAGTTTCAAACTTGGATGCATCTGTGTCATCAGATTCTGACACATATTACCAAACTAAGTATATGTTTCTATAAAAACCCACACACCACTGATTTACAACAGCAGTGAACAGAACCATATTTAAGTCTGCAGCAAATCTCTATCTTTAGTCATAGTCATAACAAGGATATTTGTTCTGTTATACTAAATGACATATTCTTAATAAATAAAAGGATCAAACAGGATGACAAATTGTTAGCACAGCATCCAGCACCACTTTCCATTCTCTACAGGAATCAACAGTTCACCTGGAGAGCATCTTTTGGATAAATCAAAGGAACAGTGAAAACCTTTTGCCAGTAAACAAATTCAGTTCCACATGAAAAAGAAAAAAGAAAAGCTGAATATAATGTGACAAAAAACCACTTTTAAACCGTTACATCATATAATCTTTCCACTTATCATTTCCATGTTCCTGCATTTCACTGAAGTAAATGTAATATCTCTAGATAGCCATAGTTGATTTTCTAATAACACTGTAAATTCCCACAAACTCTAAGCATATCATCAATTTTTCATTATAAGTGGATAACAGACTGTCTAGACTTTGGCCAAACAGTTTGCATGATATAAAGTGGTAAGTATATTTCCACTCAGTGGATCTAATAACAATGTAAACTGGTAACAGTATGCTTGAGAAAATGTTTCTTTAATAGTCACGTACAGAATATCACATTATGTTCATCCCTGTGGCCTGACTGTGACATCATATGGTAAAACAAGTGTCACTGCTGACTCTTCAGTACTCTAACTTGTGTACCCACTTGCAAAGCTTGTGCTTTTCTTCCTGTTAGTCACGTTTTACGAGCAACTTTCCTCCCTCCTCGTCAACTGGACTGCATTAGCTCCTGCTATCGCCTCATTCAACGAAGGTGGCGAGCAAGCAGAGAAGGGGCCAGCCTGTGCAGGGGCATTTAGGTGGGGGAAGGGCATGTCTGCCGGCAACAAGGGAGAGTAGATCAGTGTGGCTCAGTGTCTGTGAGGCCATGATAAGATTCCAGGATTTTCCCAGTGTGACAGGCCTGCTCACCAAGCCGTTCACTCCTCTGCATAGAGACAACTGCTACTGCCACCTGACCTCCTCCACCCCAGGGCTGCTACACCTCAGCAGGCAGGAGGCACAGCCACCTGTAACCACACCCAAAAAACTCTAACTAAAAAGCTTAATCAAATGCATATTTCTATTCTATTTTTCTGTCTCGGGCATAAATGTGAAATAAAATGGATGAATTTCTAATTTAGAGTTCTATCCTCTCCACTACAAACTACTCATGCTGTGTCTTTCTTTCTCTCTGGCTCACATTTTCCCCCGCACCCCCCCCCCCCCCACTCCCTCTCCCTTGGATGGCAGGTCAGGCAGTGAGCTGTGCGGGCTCAGAGGAGGTAAGGACGCCACGGTGCACATTAATAATGAAAGGCCTCAACCGCCCCCCCCCAAGACACACACACAGACTCACGCACACACTCCCCCATCGCCATGGCGATGGCACTAGCCCAGCGCTGTCACCAGGGGGAAGCTGGGAATATAGCTACACTCTCCAACCCTCCACTCACCAAGCTGATCACTAGCTCGTACACAAGCCCGCCATACTGGGCCTTCCACAGTGATATTCGCTAATTAAAAACCCTCACTATGGCTGTGGCAGAAAACTGCATCTACTTCCCCACCTGGATATGAAAGACTGGCAGTGGAGATGTGAAAAAAATCACCAGGAATCATCATTTTGCAGGAGATGGAAATGCACTCTAGTGTTGCATACCTGAGGCATTAGAATTAGTAATTACACTAGGACCCATGTGAGACTGACCACATTTCGGAATGGGTTTTCAATCAGCGCCGCTTTCACCATACCCTTACCCAGCTTCGCTTCCTTCTGCCAGATGTAGGCATAACATACTCAGCACTAAACACATACGCTTTGTCCAAGCTTCTTTATGATACACTTAATAGCTCTGAAGACAAAACTTCCCACAGTTAATCCATGACTATCAATGATTTTCTGAGTGTTTGTGTCATGAAGTGGGATAAATGTGACAAAGGTCTTGCAGAAGAGCAAAAATCACTGAGAAAAAAAATGACATTTGTGAGGGTTGTCAGGAGGTTTCATGCATTTTTAAGAAACACTGCAATCAGAACTGTTCTTATTCAAACATCTTTTAAATAATTTTGGTTACATTTTAGCATAGCAAGGCTCCATCAGTCATTCCACTAAAGGAAGATATTACATAGGCAGTGAGAGAAATAGCTCAGTCACACCAAGGATATGATGGTGGTCTGTGCCTCCACCCGGTTTACTTTAAATGAGTTCTTCTCCTGTCTGAATCTTCCAGGATTTTATATACTATCAGTTTATAAAAGAAAAAGGAACATTTTCTTAAATTTAT